GTCCTGCCCACCCACCGGCTTCTGCTCCCAGCAATTTGCCTCCTTACAGCAAACAGCGAGCAGCCTGTTTCAGCTTCAGCACAGCCTGATTAGCACAAGCAGCTGGTTGTTAGTTGTTCTCCCGGCCATCAGTTAATTCAGGCAGCAGCGATTGCCTATTGCCGCCTCCACATGCCCCATTTTTGGCCTCCGCATCCCATTTTTTTGCCTCCTGTGTGCCCCATTTTCCACCCATTCCAATCCCCACCACCCGGAACCAGTAGAAAATGGGGCACACAGAGGCTGAAAATGGGATGCGGAGACCCAAAGTGGAGTGTGAGGCGGCGGCAATAGGCTATGGCAATCCCTGCAGCCTGAAACAGCTGATGGTCAGGAGGCCCAACAATCAGCTGCTTTTGCTAATCAGGCTGTACTGAAACTGAAACTTGCTGTTTGCTGCAAGGAGGCAAATAGCTGGGAGGCAGAGGCAAAAAAAATAATTCTTGTTTTCCTCCCCAAAAGCTGATGCGTCTTACACTTCAGAGCGTCTTATACTCTGAAAAATATGGTATTTGGTAGTAAGACCAAAATTACTACCATTCCATTTTAACAAGGTGGTGGCTGTAGCCAATTTTATCAAATGTCTTAGTTAATATTTAGGTCAATTGTGTCCATTGCCTTCTCTTGGTATATTAATCACCTTGTAGTAAGAGTAAAATTTGTTTGGCAGAGTCTATTTCTAACAATCCCTCGCTGGGCTCTAGTAATTATATTGGTCTTTTTCTAAATCCTTGCAAACCCACTGTTTCATCCTCACCAGCAAATATCAGGTTTTCTAAATAAAAATTTTCTACTCCAAGTCTCAATTCTCCACCTTACTGCATGCATCAAAATTGCCTTAAATGTGTAAGTACCACACAGGTGAGATACCTGAAGATTAGACTTCAGTTAAATTGCTGTTCATGTAATCCTGCTTGACTATTTCCTGAACAAAACTAGTATATGTAGTTGAATGAAACATTCTGTTTTCTTCTGAAACTTTTCTTTTCTTGGATTTAACCATGGTTGGCCTCCTGGGGTTAAAAAGCCCAATAAATTACGTGCCAGCAGGCATTGCACATTGGCGGTTGTGACACATATTTTGAGCAACAGGGAGCCACAGCAGAGGGATGAAAGAGCCACATGCAGCTCTAGAGCCGCGGGTCACTGACCCCTGTTCTAAGGGATATATTGCTGATGCTGTGGTCAGACAGACCTTTCCTTCTGATTCTCTTTACCCGTACACCAGTCAATTACATCTCCATTTACACACTAAAATAGCCATATAGAACTCGATTACACTTAATGGACTAATCGGGGCACAGGAGTACCCTTTAAAGCAGGTGGTCTGCTTCAAAAATGAGATTTTGTACACCATGTATCAAATGGCAGGTGGAGTTTATATATTGCAGAAAGAAATTCTGTATAAACAAACCAATATATCGTAAATGGAAAGCTTACTATATCCACATAACCTGGCATAATATTGATTTGGCTGCAGAGCATCAAAGTGCATGACCAGCTCTGGATGAATTTTCCATTCCAGACATACTTGCCACACATTCTTTGCTGTAAGGAAAGGAAATTCCTGCTTCCTCCGAGTGAGTGAGATAAAATTGGGAGGGGGGGGGAACACACCAGCATTTGGAGACTCTCAGTTGCCTGAGGTTATCATCCTCTGCATTGAATTGGACATCTCTAGGCATTAAATTGTTTCCAAATCTTCCTACATTATGTTCCAAAAATGTAAGCATCTTTAATAAGGGTCAAATCTTGAAACGGTAAAACATTGCATGTCATTTTAATAAATGGCTATGAGATAAGTTTTTCTTCAGATGACTTTTTCCCTATAGCAATAAATGTGCATTCAAATGTGAAAAGAAGCAGTTTTATCTCTATTCCTGAAAGTAATAGACCCAATTTCAAAAGATCTATTAAATAATGATCTCAAAATAATGGAGTTTAAATTCCACATGAAAAATGATGGAATTTTCAGACATTTAAGGAGGCCAATTTTGTTTAGATGTTTGTCTGTGGTCCTCTGAGCCCTGTGCTTCATTTCTTCCAGATCAGATGAAAACCTCTGAGAAACTGAAAGAAGAAATGGGCAAGTTTGTGATGCCAGAGAACACCGATGATCTTGGCATGTAAATTATACTTCAGAATTTGAACAGTTAAATAATATTTCTATCCCTTTGTAATCTGAACCTGGATACTCTTTAAAACAGTTACCTTATTGTTGGTATCTGTTTCAAAAAGCATTATTGTCAAAAACTCTGAAGAGGTAAGTTGCTAAGTTTTTGTATATGGAAAGTAAATTTTGGAGCTGCTTGTTGATACCGGAGAAATTTTTAGATTCTATTTTTGTCTTAAGTAGCTGATAACTGAGTAATCTGTACACTTTACTGCAGAATTTTTGCTGAAGAAATTTGACTTCTAGTGTTTACCCTTCGCTTTTAGTATGTTTTATGAACAGAAGACGTTCAGAGGATTTGTTTACAACCCTTGATTACTTCAGTTTGTGTTGTCATTACAAATAAATGCTGTTTTACTTGAAATGTTTTGTTTAATTCCTGCTCCTGGCAAGTATTATTTACCTATTGTATAAGAGTTGCAATACATCATATTTATCTGACTCCTTTAGCTATTTTACTGTCATCAACTAATACTGTTTTTGTTTCTTTTTAATATTCTGTTTGGACATCTTTATTAAACTTTGTTGACAATAGTTTGACATTCAGGTCATCTAGAAGAAGAGTTTATTTTTGTATACATTTTGCCAGAGTTAAAAGAACCAGGAAATTAATTGAAAGGAGCAGAATATTCAAACTTCTATTTGGATTCATGAAAGTGTTTACATTTTCAAATTAGTTAAAAGATTAGAACAACTAAAATAGGTAAAGTTAAAAATTCCCCTCACACATATGTACTAGTCTCTACCCGACTCTAGGGAGAGGAGCTCATCTCCGTTACAAAGCCGGAGCGCCAGCGTTGTCAGAAGACATCTCCATGGTCATGTGGCCAGTATGATTAAATGCCAAGGCACACGGAACGCTGTTACCTTCCCACCAAAGGGGGGTTCCTATTTTTCTAATTACATTTTTTTATGTGCTTTCAAACTGCTAGGTTGGCAGAAGTTGGGACTACTAACGGGATCTCATTCTGTTACACGGCGCTAGGGATTCAAACTGCCGACCTTTCTAATCAACAAGCTCCAAAAATATTGCCACACTGCAGCAGCCATGAAGTGACCACACTTGCCATTCCTGCAGCTCAAAAATAATAAGACCTCCCCAAAAATAAGGCCAAGTGCTTATTTCGGTGGGTTAAAAGAAAATAAGACCCTGTCTTGTTTTTGGGGAAAAACAGTATGTTGGTCGTATCTATCAGCTAGTGAAATATGCTGATTGCCAGGAGTAAGATCAGGGCAAGTTAGAAGAATTTCCAAGACTTATCAAGTCCCCTTCCAACTGATACATATGGAGCAGTGGTGGGTTACAACTGGTATGCCCCGGTACGGGCGTACTGGTGCCTGCCGGGAACACTGGGTTCCGGTACAGTGCTCCGGAGGGCCTGCCCGCCGTCCTTACCTGTATTTGAGCTCTTTGGGGCTTACACGCACAACATACGGCACCTGTACAACGCTCCACCGAGCAGCTGGAGCATCGTAGATGGTAAGTATGCATTTGCGCATTGTTTGTACGCGCACTGCGTGCATTCATGTGGACGGCGGGCCCTGTTGCAACGTACCAATTGCAACGGGATCCGGAACCCACCACTGATATGGGGATAGATAATACTACAAAGAACAGCTACAACAATCATATCACCACAACCTTGAAACTTAAGAGCCTGAGGTCATATCTTGATCATCATCTAAAATCAGGAAGAGAATCAGGAAATAAATAATATTGAAGAGGAAAGTGAAAAAAGTGCGCATAGAAAATGAAATGAAGATTTTGGAAACTTGTAACAATTTCCTGCAATTAAGCACAGAGGAAGAAATTTATTAATGTATTTCTCTAAATGGCAGATTAACTATCTCTGATAGCATTGCTAATTTTATAGATCAATGTTGTAGACATAATGAATCTTGGCCTCGGTAAAGCCTTTGAGCATCTGATGATGTCCTTAATAAAATAGTAGAATAAGGGCTAGATAATATCATTCTCACAACAGCCTGAATAACCACACTCCAAATGTTATTAATGGGTCTTGAGAAGTATTTAAATGGAGTGTCATGAATCCTATTACTTTGATGAGGTAATTGAGGGTTTATAGATGATAGAAATCTGGGAGGTACAGTTTAACAGAGAAATATAATTTTCTACACCTGAGTAGAAAAATTAAAGACACAGAGACAGATTTGGTGAAGCAGTAGTACAGGAGAGAGAGATCTGATGTCCTTATCAATCAAAGCTTAAACATGAGCCAATAGTGCGATACAGCTATTGCCCAGTAGGCAGGATCCAAACCTGTGGGTAGAAACTAGATAGAAGAAAGCTCAGGCTAGACATCAAGAGGAACTATATAAGCTAAGCCAGCAATGGCGAATTTTTTAGACACCAAGTGCCCAAACCGGTGTGTGCACACATGCCCAAACTGAAAGATGTGCACACGTGAATGCATGCATGCACTAACATGTACAACTGTGCGCAAGTGCATGTGCAGCAGAGACCTGAAGACAAGTTGGGTGGCGGAAGGTAGGGCATCCCAACAATGGCAGCGTGGCAAGAGGTAAGATCTTTTTTCTTTCGTNTCCCAGAATCCCCCAGCCAGCATAGCTGGCTGGGGGATTCTGGGAGTTGAAGTCCACAGGACTTAAAGTCGCCAAGGTTGAGAAACACTGCATTACAGGAAGGCGGAAGAGGTCTATCTCTACTGCTATTGGCTGAGCACTACAGTGAGGGTCTGGCTTTGAGAGGAAAACCACAGTTATATCAACCTAACTCAGAAGCCGATGCTGCTGCTGCATAGGTGCATGGTTGCATTGCTTCTGTGCATTGTTGCTTTTTTTCCCCTCTTTTTGCATGCAAATAGCCATTAAGAGTTTCCGGAGGTGTCAATGCCTACGGTAGATTTAAAAACTAAACAGAAGAAGTTCAATACATGGGTAAGAAATTCCTGGGAATTCCAGGGCTGCTAGCTAGACTGGGGAATGTTCTTTAGACAATCCCAGAAGGCAATAGAGCAAGTCATGATTCTTATACCGCTGCATGGATGTAGTCATCATGAGCTAAGCTCGTTATGGCTTGTAATGACTTCAGAGAGAGAGAGACGCATTCATGTTGTTTTCTGGGCAATAAAATGGAAAGGAAAGCCTTCTGGGAACTTTCTCAGCTATTTCAACCCTGAGTTTTGGCTGTGACTGATGCCTGCTTAGATTTAGGCAAATATAGATGGGCATGTTTGAATATGCATAAGGCAAGTATTGCTGACATTTCCAAAGCGCACGCCATGAGGGCGAAGATCATGTCTTTGCGCATGCTTTTGAGCTACTTACTATAAGTGCAAAGGGCTCCTTGGTGATTTCTTCTTCTTTGGCAGTTACGTGTATTTTTGTGCCTTGTTGATACTGAATTTTAGGGTGGAATGAAAATGGCATTATTACTGGGTTGACTTTGCAGGTTTGCTGGGGTTTATGTTCAGAATTGTGATTTAATACTCTATATTCTCTTACACCTTTTTTTTTGACGTTCAGAGCTTTGCAAGTGGAGACACTTAACTGCTAGCATTGAGCTTTGCAACCCGGCAGATTGAGTAGCGGTTAGCTTTGCTACCAAAGTGAACCATCTTCTCGTTCTCCTTCTGCAAAAGACCTAACCCAGAGGGGCTCTTTGCTGGGCTTGTGAAAAGGCAGAGTAAAATGGCTACTACTCCCATAGTTTATTATTTAATTGGAGGCTGATACATTCAAAGGCTCCAGGTGGTATGCAGAAAATGTACAGAAAGAGTACAGCAATATACTTGGTGCATCTAAATGCCAATCACTCCTCCTTTGCCTATTGAGGTGACAAATCTCCCTGGCATCTGAGCCGTTTGAAAAGCCAGGTTTCCAGTTCTCGTTTAAGGTTCAGCCCAGATGAAGCACCAGGGGAAGGATATTCCAGAGGGGAGACGGCCACTGTAAAAGCACAGATCTGGGACCCCGCAAGATGGCTCTCTTTAACTGGAGGGACCTGGAACACGCCCACTCTGTGTGATCTTATAGAATGGGAGAAAGGCCGTCCCTTAAAAAACTTGCCCCTATGCTATGTGGTATGTTCACACGTGTAAGGCTTTATTCATGAAAACTACCACTTTGAACTTAACCCAAAAGCTCACCAATATCCATCCACAGCTTGCACAGAAAGAGTGGGCACACTGACAGTGCACATATAAATGGATGCAGCATAAACTGTGTTGGTTCACAATCACATCTCTCTGGAGTGACCTGGGTAAAGATCTGGATGTTCTCCAGGATTCAGGCTCTGCTGAAACAGCAGATGGAGACTATGGTTAGAAAATCCTTTAACCAGATGTGGATGATACAACCGTTCTTGAAATAGGAGCCTCTGACAACTGCCAGGGTGGCGCAGTGGTTAAATGCAGCACTGCAGGCTACTGCTAGATCAGCAGGTCAGCGGTTCAAATCTCACCGGCTCAGGGTTGACTCAGCCTTCCATCCTTCCGAGGTGGGTAAAATGAGGACCCAGATTGTTGGGGGCAATATG